CCCCCCCCTCCCCCCATTTCTCTGAGCTCACCATCCCTCAGTTTTCCATTATTTTCGGAAACGTTAACGTCCCATTCCCACGATTAATGAAAGAAAAGTACACGAGCAATGTTTAAACGACTTCGTGGAATTTTGTATTTGAGATGTATAACACTGGCTCATGTTGAATTGTCGGTGGAGTACAGCAGGAAGTTGGTGCGCTACCGATGACAGAGATGAAGAAATCATTGAGCTTCGATCAAGTGGGGACATGCCGTGGCGGGAACACCTAGCACAGGCCTCACCATCATCATCAACAGGGCCAATCCCAGCAACAGACACCACCACCACCGTCTGTGTGCAGGGCAACACCAACGCACACACGTCACTGTCACTGCCACTCACATTCTCACAGTCACAGTCATTCGCACAAACATCAGTTACCACCGCCGAGGCAGAGGAGAGCCTCATCGGGCATCAGTTTAGGCCAAGGTTTGTCAATTCTTTCATTTTGCTGATAAAACTCCATAAAAAATGCATTTTTCCCGAAACTTTGATTTTTTTCATGAAAAAAATCTAATTTTTCATTAATTTTTTCTGCTCTTTCCGCTGTTTTCTTTAGTTTTTGATTATAAAATGTAAAAAAAAGAACGACGCAATTTCCATAGCAGTGAAATTTCAAGTTTTAAGTAAAATTTCGTTCAAATTTTTAATTAAACATCGATATTAGAATGATTTTTCAATAATTTAATGAAAAAAAAGCAATGGAACGATTCGATTTTGATTTTTCAAATTTTTCATTCACGTAAAAGAACACTCAGTAAAAAAAACGCATTTTTTTCCGAAATTTCATTGAATTTTCATTTTTCTATTCTAATTATTCTCGTGAAATTTTGAAAAAAAAACCAATGAAACAATTCGATTTCGATTTTTCAATGACGCAACTCCTAAAAATGTCACTCACTGATGTTTAACCACAGGCAAATATTCCTTGTTCTTGTTAACTAAATCAGGAGGTGACCACCCTGAAAGCATCCTATGGAGATTCGACTGCGACCTAGCGGGTGAGCCAGACGTAGTGATATCCCCCCCTCCCCCACCGCCGCCACCATCCGCCGCCGTATCAAGAACGACAACCCTTTGACCAATACTCGAGGAGGTGCCGACGGGCGTGCCAACGCAAAAGGAACAACTTTCAACTCAAGCAACAGTAGTTGTCAGCGTAGACCAGAAAGAGACGTGCTTATAGCACTCGTGATGCCCACCAAGGGCTGATAATCAAGTCAACGAGGCACTAAGGGACCAGTGAAAGAGGGGTAGCCACTGCTGAGGGTAAAAATTCAAAAGTCATTGACGTTTTCACAGGGGGGCCTTTGGAGGCTAGTGCATTGCCACCGCCGACAAAGCTTAAACGGAGTTTCTCATTTTCCCTTCCTCTCTCTCATTATCATCGCTAACGAACTCCAATGGCCTTCGGAGTCAGGCGTCTCCTCGAGGAATATTAGAGGTTCGATAAAGAGTAATATAAAAAAAATTCCCTTTCGTTAAGACTCTCTTAAATTATCAACATCAAGTGAGAATATTAAGGACGGAGAGGAAAAAAAACGGCAGACCAATAAATTTAGTCGTCACTGCCACGATTCCACCCTTTAGCGTAATTTCCATTTTTATGGGATCGAAAGGCTCGAGAGATACAGCGTGCCAGTTACAACGTGTACAACAACCACTGTAAATTGTATAAAAAATTTTTTATTCAAGTTATATTCGAGGAGATTCGGGTGAGATTGTCCAGGAAATAAAATGGATTTCCGGGGATGTACACATTTTTGGAATTTATGGGGAGCACTTGGGATTGTGTGTCACTGTATTTCAGAGGTGATGATGTCAGTGGAATCACAAATTTCGGGGGAGTGACGTTGAATTTTATTTGGGGGAATAAAATCAAAATTTGTAATTTGAACGGTAATTCAGTGGAATTTTTAAATCAATTGATAATTGAAGAATTTTATGACTTGAATATTGCTGATTTGTGGAAATTCTAGCTCAAGTTTTTTAATAATAACTTTTTAAGTTTTTTTCCATTGAAGAATGGAAAATGCCCAATTGATTTTATGCAGAAATTCCCAGCCTCGAATTTTCCAAGTTTTTTTCGTTCCATTTTTCAAAGAAAAGTAAAATGAAAATAATGTGGAATCACTTGATAAATTAATGCCAAGGAATTCCTATTAAAAATTCTTTACAGAAAGAAAAAATTCTCCTGATTTTTAAAAACTACAGAACAATTTCCATTGGGCACTTCCCACCGAGAAAACGCGCAGTGAATTCTTCGATAAAATCCTTCAAAGTAATGGAATACTCTACCGAATTAAAAAGTGCAAAAGTATTGATGAATACGAAGCATCACCTCCCAAATCCTCAAAATTTCTGGGATTATTTCACCCGCATCCCCCTGAAATCACAGAAACGGTGATGGTTATCGCCATCGTGTTGAACATATACTGTCCATACAATTTGTAATATGCGGTGATAAGAAAAAACGAAACAATTGTATATGTGTTGTAAAGTTGTTGTGGACTCGTGAAGATTAACGTTAAGTCATAACCGTAGCTAGGAGAAATTTTCTACAGAAAAAAAAAACTTCGAGATATTTATGGGTTAACATGAGTGCCGAGTGTGTCCAACGGAGCGTTGTACATATACATTAATGAATGCTTCATGAGGAATTTTAAGGGCAAGTTCGGGGTTTATTCGTGAAAAAATTCAGTGGTGAAGTGGCAGAAGGTAATTGATCACACTTGGAATTCCAAATAAAATTAATAATACGAGATGATGACGCCAAAGGCATCATTATCACGACTGCAATTGACTTAATGACGTAATGATTGAAAAATTAATTTCTGAATTTTATAGACAAAAACCATTCTGCACGAATTATTTGACAGACAATTTTGGCTCCACGACTTCAATTAATTTCGTTAATCCGATGTATTCGTCTGTGAAATTGTGTGACAAGTTGACTCGTTACGAGTTGCCACTTCACTGTTCAATTAACGATGAGAGTATTGAAAGAAGAATGAAATATGTAATGAGTGCCATTTTTCATGATTAATGTGCATGTTCCTGATACTCTGTACGTCGTAGACTTTCATCACTGTTTTACATACGAGATACGTGTATTTTCAATCTAATCGAGAGTCAATTTCAATGCGTAATATGAAAGTTTATGGTGCAGACTAATGTAAATACAATGAAAAATAATTGGATGAATGAGGAATATTATTGTTGATCAACATCGAAAGAACTGATTTGCGTTGGCCTATTGTCATCCTACGATGTCATCGATCAATTGATGATTGATGAGACGAATAAAGGGAGAAATAACGTACAAGTGAATAATGCCAAATGTCCATTAAAGTGAATACGTCTGCAATTTGTAAATTTAATACCACGGAGAGTTATTACGTTTAGGGAAACACCGTGTTTAGTGGTTTGAGAAACTTTTCACGAGGTATATTTTCACATGCCACATCACATTGTTACACACAACGTTTCCATTTATCAATGAAATACGGGAGAAACTTTTAGTTGGTTGCACTCATCAGTTGTTAATGAGATTAAGGGAACCATTATTCTCATGTTGATTGGATAAATATATGTACATACAGCATATTGAAATTTGTTACTTAGGATAATGAGAATTGGTTCGCAAATTTATTGACGAGTTAATTGTCCGGTGGATGTTTACTTTTTTCGATTTGAGAATGACATTTTGTGGAAATTATTGCGAATGAATTATTGTTACTGATGGGTGAGTAAGGAATGAGAGAATGAGCACACTAAATTGGCAATAAAATGACAACAATGTCGGATGAGTATTATTGGGTGGTTGTTTTTATTTAAGAGCTAAGCCCCTGCTATCTCCGCTCGTCAACCACCATAATCCTTATTCTCCCCATATGATCCCTATTTGGACCCCTGTGGCCCATAATCTCGGGGTTGTGACACTTAATTTGGGCCTCGTGACCCTCACGACCTTTACTATGACCCCTGTGAACTATAATTTGGACTTTGTCCCGACCCTTATTCTGGCAATTTTCCCCCTGAAAAAATCAAATTTTGTTATTTCGGCATTTCTGGGGCAAGTGAGGGTCTCAGTGGCATTAGGCGGGCCAGAAAATACAGAATCGACTTTCACTCGGCGGAAAAATTCGATTTTGGCGAAAGTCGACTTTCCCCCCGAGAAAAGCCTAAATATGGCAC